AAAAAAAAAAAGCTCTCATAATATATGCATCTGATTTTCTTCAGCTACAAAAAAAAAAAAAAAAAAAAAAAAAAAAAAAAAAAAAAAAAAAAAACGGGGAGAGGAAGAAAAGACAAAAAGAAAACCATTGTTTGAGAAAATAACATCTCTTTATGTGAGGCAGTTACAGTAATTGCTTCTTTCAAGGAAGCTAGTTCTGCAGAGACAGGCATGGTAGAGTTACTGGAATCTGAGATCTCTTATTTCCTTTAACATTTATAGACTGCTATTTAATTGCTTTTTTTTTTTTGCCTGTCCATTTCTCCTGATGTTTTACAATGTTCTTTTTAAAATTCTCAGAAGGTTTCCGACTGATGTTTTTAGGATCTGGTACAGCTGATGGAACAAGTAACATCTTGGCTTTTCTTAAACTTCATGGCTTCTTAAGCTATTGATCTGCTATGTTTCTATACAGAGATACCAGTAGTTTGATTTGACAGTTCTGACCAAATGTTGCTTGTCGTATCGGAAGGACAGTGCATACACCTGGTTATGAGGTTCCTTAAGCCATCCTTTGCATGTTTCCTTAACGTGAAAGGTAGTGTGTATACTAAGGAGGAATTTTCTCTTGCTGTGTCTGACCTGCTTGACTAACCCAGGCAAAGAAATAAATGGGCTACAGATAATGCTGGGCCTTTGCAGACTGCCAGAAATAGTGCAAATTGAGTCCACTTCAAGGGTTAGGGTTAGTGCTAGGGAATCATGGGAATTGTTGTTTTTTTTCTGAGACACTGAGCCTTCTCTGTCAGAGAGCTCTGGTGCCACAATAAAATACAGTTCCCATGATTCCCTAACCCTAACCCTTAAAGTGGACTCAATTTGCACTATTTCTGGCAGTCTGCAAAGGCTCGATGTCTGTACCGATGACAGAGCCTTTAAAATCAATGGGACTCAGGCCTTGTTTGCATTGGCCAAGATACTCTGGGGGCAACCCAGAATATCCTGGCCCTGCAACTGCTCCAATCTGCCCTTTAATAGCCTCTGTTCCCATGCTGTGATGGCTGTATGTATGGGCATCCTGCTAGGCTGCCTGGCATGTCCATGAAGTCAGAATGAATGACCCATGGTGGCGGCAGATGCATCAAGGGGCCCAGCAGAATTCCTGTGCAGACGATGGTAAGAGGAAGAGGAAGACCACATGTCATATAGTTAGACTTAATCAGGGAGGTCATAAGTCCAAACCTGCAGGACTTGAGCAGACAAGGAGTCTTGGAGATATCTCAGTCACAGGACTGCAATGAGTTGAAGCTGACTTGAAGGCAGGTAACAATCACAACAACAACAAATGGCTGAGAATTTAATTTAGCTTGTTTTTGGTAAGCACTTACCAAAGATTCACAATTTTCTTCATAAATTAGATAAATAGAACTGGATATTTTGAAAATTTGAACAAAGTGGGACAAAGTGAAACACACTTAGCCTGGAGGAGAGCATGGCTGGAAGTAGAGGGTGAGATGTTACTTCTGCAGTTCAAAAAGTGGTTGATAAAACCCTACTGAGAGATACCATTACCCAGTAAGGCTGCAGTCCTAAATTGTTTTTACTTTAGTGTAACTCTAAGGGGACTTACTTCTGAATATAGCGATGAGTGTGTAACTTTAGGTTACACATTCATAACTGCCATAGTGGATTCCAGCTTGTAGCTTTTGGTATCAGGTATCATGCTATTTTAAAGTGTAATTTTTGTTTCAAAACTGTGTTTTTTTTAATCAAAACTGTGGGAAAAATATTTCATCATGAAAAGTAGCATATAAGCCAAACAAATGGCAAACAAGGCAAAATAGCCAGAGCCTTGAAATAAGATTCCCTCCCTCAATGGGAACAAATTAGAGAAACAAGAAGGCACCAAAAAGCGATTATACCTAAACCCTAACGAAGAGTGTGTGAACGTTTAAACACACTTTTGATCAAAACATGGGAAGAAGAAATTCTATGCAATCATTTCTGAAACTTCCATTCTCTCCCCCTGCCCCAATCTACCATTGATTACATATCCACTTAATTTTTCCCTATTGGAGATTTTATATGGCCCAGCTTCCAAGCACTTGCAATCATTAATAGATAAGCATTATTCAGATATACAGTTGTCCCTCCCCGTTCACAGACTTCGAGTCTGAGGACGTTATCACACTTGCAGCAAGAGAGCGGCAAGAAAGCTGGTCGGAATCATTTGGGAACCATTTTGGGCTCATGCCGGAATGTGCCCGGCAAGCGGAAAACATTACCACACTAGACTGGAATCAGTGAGGAATGTGAGATTCCGGAATGGTTCTGCTCCGGGGGCTCGGATCTCCTGTTCACACACAAGTTGAAAGATCCCTACCGCAATCCCCCAAATTCTGGGATACAAAGCCATCCCTAATAATGATTCCCCCCCCAACCCCTGAAGAGAGGAACATTGTTTACCTGTTCCGTTTGTTGCCCGCTCCAGGAAGTACACGTCATAAGATGCTTCCTCAAATCCTTGGGGAATACCGCGAGGAACCATGGGCCATAGAACGAGGAAATGCGGCATGACAAGGATCTTGTGTTCATACCTATGCCGAGATCAGCATCATTCCGGTATAGTGCCGACCGCTCGAGTGTATTCCTTAAAACTCTCGGAAGTCAAAAGGACTGAAATGAGGCTGAAATGACGCTGAAATGAGGTAGGGAAGGGCGGGGTTTGCTGCGACGTCGTGTGAACACACGGAAAAAAAGTCTGAAACGAGGCTGAAACGAGGCTGAAATGACGCTGAAATGACGCTGCTTTAGGGCCAGTGTGATAACGTCCTGAGTGGAGCAATCCTTAATGTACTCCACATTTCAATATGTAAGTGGGATAGCTACCAAAGGGAGAATAAATTGAAACGTTTTAAGCTAATTTAGCACTGCCATCTACTGGTTCCCCATGAGATTTTTAGTCAGCTTTTTCTAATCCCCTAAAGAAGATCAAGTCCTTTTTCATGCCCTAGAAAATGATGGCTCAGACTGGGAATTTATGCAGTTTTGATTGTCTTCCTCTCCTGAGCTTATATAACAACTCTTAGGTGTACCTTTGATCAGTGTCTTCAGGCATTCTAATTGGGGGCTGAAGCTCTTCAGCAGAACATAGGCAGCATCTGCACTGCAGAAATAAAGCAGTGTGACACCACTTTAATGATCACGGCTCCATCCTATGGAATCCTGGAATTTGTAGTTTGTTTTGACACCAGAGCTCTCTGACAGGGAAGGCTAAATATCTCCGAAAATGACAAACCCTGGAATTCCAGAGCACTAAGGGCCTTTGCAGACTGCCAGAAATAGTGCAAATTGAGTCCACTTTAAGGGTTAGGGTTAGTGCTAGGGAATCATGGGAATTGTTTTTTTTTTCTGAGACATTGAGCCTTCTCTGTCAGAGAGCTCTGGTGCCACAATAAAATACAGTTCCCATGAGTCCCTAACCCTAACCTTTAAGGTGGACTCAATTTGCACTATTTCTAGCAGTCTGCAAAGGCCCTGAGCCACAGCAGTTAAAGTAGTGTCAAACTGCATTATTTCTGCAGTGCAGATGGAGCTACAGCCTTCTAATGGAGGTGAGAGGTAAAGTCTCTGGTAACCATACTCAAGCAACCTCAACAATTGAACCAACCAACCTCTGAGGCCCCTGGACAGCCAGCCACAGTATTTTAACAAGGTTAAAGCTGCCTCTTGTTCATTGATATTCTGTGGCTGATCACACAGAAATAGCACTTACAAACCTGGAAAACACAATGCTTAGGAAGTAACAAGTTATAAGTAACACAATAAAGGATAACTAACTGCTTTTCCAATAAGAAACTTGAATTAAGTGACATTAAAAAAGTAACATAATTAATATGTGAGGAGTTGAGAAGTTATTTTATTGATATAATAAATAATTTCTTCAGAATGTTACTTTTAACAACATTTTGACAATATTTTTTGGATAGGAGTTTTTATGCCATTTTAAAATTAATCCTAAGATTTTAACCTCTCAAAAATGTAATTGAATGTAATAGAAAAGCAATGAACAGTGCAGTTATTTTTCCAATATTTTAACTAGTAATGAGTTACTTTTCAAACACTGTAACAAATAATGGGAGTGAATTATTTTTAAGAATTTAACTTCCCAGGTTCATCAATAGGCCCAAGCAATGATCACAAATGTAATATGGGCTTTTTTGAACAGTGATACATTCCCTTTTGAAAAAGAACTTTTGTTCAGGCTAGATGTTCAAAATGTAAAAAAAGAAGGTGGGGAAGATACTTGGGTGTCTACTAAAATCTGGCTTACTATGATGTTAAGAGAGGAACCGAAACACACTGCAGAAATAATCCAGTATGAGACCGCTTTAACTGCCCTGGCTCAATGCTAGGGAATTCTGGGAACTGTAGTTTTGCGAGATGTTTAGCCTTCTCTGTCAGAGAGCTCTGGTGCCACAATAAACTACAATTCCTAGGATTTCCTAACGCTGGGTCAGGGCAGTTAGTGGTCTCAAACTGGATTATTTCTGCAGTGTGTTTTGGACCTATGTCATCTTTACTAAATTAGAGCCGTGATTTATAGAAAAAAATTCACCTTGCTGGATAGAATGAAGTTGTCTGTTATACCAGGTAAGCATGTTTGTTCATCTTGTCTCATACTGCCTATGCTGATTGGTCCCAGACAGGGGTCTTTCATTGATCCCTTTTAACTGGAAGTAGCAGAGATGGAACCTGGGATCTTCTCATTAAAGCAGGCGTACTTCTGAGCTGCCAGTAAAGTATGTGCTCCCCTCCACCCTCCAGTCCATGGCTATTAAGGAGCTGATCTACAGTTTAATGTTGCATCTGATTGTTGTTATTTTTATGTGCCTCTCAGTCATTTCTGACTTACGGTGACCCTAAGGCAAACCTATCATAGGGTTTTCTTGGCCAGTTTTCATTGCCATCCTCTGAAGCTGAGAGTGTATGACTTGCCCAAGGTCACCCAGTGGGTTTTTAACTCGAGCTGGGAATCGAACCCTGATCTCCAGAGGTATAGTCCAATGCTCAAACCACTACACTACAAATGTCATGGTTAATACTAATTATGATTTGTTGAAAGAAGTCTACTTTGTAAACCCTGGTTGTTTTGAATGACTCATAGGAAAGGTTGAATCGAGTATCCTAGAATTTGGACATGACAACAATCAATAATAATAATAATAATAATAATAATAATAATAATAATAATAATAATAATAATAATAGTTTATTTTTATCCTGCCCCTCTGAGATCAATCGGGGCGGCTAACAAATATTAAAATTAAAATACATCAAACCCCCTCCCCTCCCCCCCTTAAAAAAGTATTAAACCAGATACAGATTAAAACCAACAGATAAAGCAACAACAAATACAAACCACAATTTATAACAGCAATTATGAAACTGGGGCAGCATGTATTAATTTTAAGGGAAGGACTATTGGGGACCCTCCTAGCAAGAGTTCCTGAGGCCAGGATTATCTATCCTGGAAAGGCCTGCTGAAAGAAATCTGTCTTGACAGCCTTTTTAAAGCTGTCTAAAGATGTCAATTGATGGATTTCATCCGGCAGGCTGTTCCACAATCTACTTACAGCAAAATGCTGTAAGGTGGAAACTTCTGAACTCTTCCTTGCAGACATGCCAGGAGGAAAAGTGTGGAAGAGCACAAGCCTGGGATTTACTGTTTCATGTCTGATAGGTTTAGTGCAAGGGTGGATTTGGAGGCCAATTTTCTGACCCTGACATCTACAGGCTTTACAGATTGCCAAGAATCATCCCCTGTTTCCATATGCAAAACCAGAATCGGCCACAAGTCCACTTGTAGTATTTAAAAAAATGAAAGTTTACAAATGTTAAATGTAACACAAGTGGCCATACAACTTCATGGTGTGGTCATGATGGGAAAAGGTAGAACACACAAGGTAGGAATGGCTGCAGCAGTTTACTTTTGCCTGAGCATACTGGATATTCTGGTTTGTGACCAAAATAAATCTATTAATTAATTCAAGATTCTGTTTCCTCCTCGCCTCTCCTCCCTGATGAGTTAATTGAATGCATACTACTTCTGCAGTTTCAACTCAGCTTGGAGTAACTCAGGTAAGTTGTGGAGAAAAGGGGAAAGTGGGAGGAGGAGAGAGAAACAGGGACATTTTAAAAGCAACTGAAAACTGGGATGACAGAGAATTAACCAGGGACAGTTGAAGGGTACAGGGGCTTTGCCATATATCAAAAAGGGACATTTCTGTTCTTGGAGGCTTTTAAGAGAGGCAATTCACCTTTTTTTTGGACCAGAGAAAAGTGGATCAACAGCCACAAAAACAGCCTTGCGGGAGGGGCCATGCTTTGGTCAACCCCAGGCTTCTTTCAGTTTCACAGTTCACAGTTATAACTACATTCTGGACAATGGAATCCTGGGATTTCTAGTTCTGTGAAGTATTCAGAATTCTCTGCCAGAAAGCATTAGTGCCTCCCCAAACTACAAATCCCAAGTTCTGTAGGATGCAGCTATGACAGTTAAGGTGGGATCAAAGTCTTATAGCTATGCAGTGTGAAAGGGGCCCTGGTTTAGCATTAGATGTGAATGCAGCCATTATCTGCTGTGCAGGAAAGAAGATTAGATTTGTGTTCCACAATGGTGCCTAACACCCACAATTTAACATTTTTTAAAACAATGGATCCCAAACGCAGTGTCCAAACACGAATCAAGGAACATGAGAGACACTGCAGACTGGGCCAGCCAGAAAAATCAGCAGTAGCAGAACACATCATAAACCATCCTGGGCATAAAATGCTGTTTGAAAACACTGAAATTCTGGACCATGCCAACAACTATCAGGTCAGAATGCACAGGGAAGCCATCAAAATCCATAAACACTTGGACAACTTCAACAGGAAAGAAGAAACTCTTAAAGTAAACAAGATATGGCTACCAGTCCTACAAAATAAGAAAATCTGCACTCAGCAAATGCAAAGGGAAAACCAACCAGGATCAGGGGCTTCCCCAGCAGACAACAGCAGACAATCTCCTTGATTGCATATCCTCACCTGGAAGCTATGCCATTAACACAGAACAACACCTATTCAACACAGAACAATACAGTTTATATGGGAACAGCAGACAATATCCTGGATTGCATATCCTGAAGTGATGCCATTAACACAGAACAATACCTATTCAACACAGACAACACACAGTTCACCTGGGAACCACTCCTCCCTACCCAGGGTCTCACAGTATATATACAACCAGGCTTTTCCATTTCAGTTTTCTCTGAAGATGCTAGCCACAGATGCTGGCGAAACGTCAGAAAGAAACTCTTTCAGAACATGGCCACACAGCCCGAAAAAACCCACAAAAAAACTATGGATGCTGGCCATGAAAGCCTACGACTTCACAATGGATCCCAATTTTCTTCAAAGTTGTTTCATCCAGACTTTTTAGGACCAATTAATCTAACTATTAAATCAACTCAACATTGCAGCCCTACAAATTATATAATTTCAAGGCTATCTGTTCAGACTGTACAACTGTGTTTGCATAACTGTAGCTCTAATTAATATGACTAATACTAACTTTCCTCTATAATTTGTCTGGCAAAAATAGTAATGGGACTAATTGTTCAGTCAAGGGTACTGAACATGTAGAGAACTACCATAGATTGTTCTGTTTTCCTTATACCATAAAACTGTGAGCCTGGAAGCTCAGAGAGACTAGAAGAGTTCCTGTTTGTACTATAACTCCCAACATCCCCCAATCATCATGTTCATTGCTGATTGTAGGAGCTGTAGCCCTAAAATGTAACGTTTCCAAATACATAATTTCTATAACTTCTGTGTTGGCTGGGTTTCTATCCTGTGCAGAGAGTTCTCAACATACTATTTAGTCATCCTTTATATGACACTGGGCCAGAAAAGACTTAGGTCCTTTGCATACTACACAGTTATAGTGCTATGATTTTACTTTAACTGACATGACTCCATCCAATGGAATCCTGGGATTTGTAGTGTATGGAGGGGCATTTAGAATTTTTAGCCACAGAGTGCTAGTGTTCCACTAAACTGCAAATCCCAGGATTCCATCGGATGTTGCTATTGCAGTTAAAGCCAAGTCATACTGCTATAGTTGTATAGTATGAAATGACTCTTGGGCATTAGCGTAAATGCTGATGTCTTTTTGACTGGAAATGCCACTGCTTGTAGGTGTTGTATTTAGAGGCCTGAATTTCTTGGATGTAAACTCCTCAAATACATAAAAGATGCAGGATTTATTGTTGTGTAGTTCTTTTCTTGCCTAAGACCAGAGGTCAGCTTTTCTAGCTTTCCCAAATGCTTAGCAGAATACCTAGTAAGAACTATCTATAATTGCTCCAGGTCATTATAACAAACCTACACTGCAGAAACAATCCATGACAAACTACAACTCCCAGAATTACATAGCATTGAGCCATGGCAGTTAAAGTGGTGTCAGATTGGATTATTTCTGCAGTGTGGATGCAGTTTTAGACTGGATCTTCCTCCAACCTTGTGTGCTCTTCCTCAGTAACATATTCCATTTTGACCACACTGCTTGGCTATGTGTGTGGCATTTCACAGATAAAAACCAGGACACAGTTAAGAAGTCTTCTGATACTTCTTCAGTTTTTGTACTTGTTAGGTGTGAGTGCAATCTCTATTCCTATTTCTTCCAGTATTCACCTAAATTTCAAGTGAAACTTCCCTCAGAGAAACAACTCAGTTGCTTCCTGAAAATACAGGGATTAGGCCTAGCAAAGCAACCACCCCAGGAAGCAGTTATTTGATGCTATGAACAGACAGCAAGTTCTCGGTTATTTAATTTATCACCATTGTATTTTGGCAAATAGCAACAAAAATGTTACTGCCAAGGAGAAGGCTTTTCTGCATCATATGCCAAAATAAATTTGGGTAGCCTTGGGTACTATATTATCTCAATTTCACAGTCTACCATGCGATACTGACTGGGATTTTGGACCATCATTGATTTGATAATCTGGCACATTCCACGTAGTGTTGCCTTTTCTGATTGTGCTATTATGATCCTATCTATGGTGGTTTCATTCAGAGGTTTTGTCAGGAATTGCTTCCAGAGCACCAGCCTCCACTGCAACCACGGCTGTTTTCTTTTCCCAAATCTCAGTTTGTAGATCTCAGTATTGCATAGTAAAGGAATACCTCAGTTAACAAAGTAGATGTGTTCCTGGGCATTACATCTTGAACAGAAAATTTGGTACCAGAGGCACAAGTAATATGGAAAGAATGAGGATACACCACAAAAAACCAAGAGCTGTTCAACATGTTTCAGCAGGCTTTTTATTTAAAACCAACAATGTGCACATGTGAAATAATAAGCCCCCTTCCAAACAAACGAGTCAGATAAGCCTTGCATAAGTAAAGAAAATATTTTGAACTTTCTAAAGACTACTAGAAAGCTTTTTCGAAAATACATTCAGTGATTATTTTTCTTTCTTTCACCAGACTCCATTTTTCTTACGATTTTTGTTTTGCTGGCCAAACTTATAGGTTTGTGGCTTTTTAAAAAACATGCTGGGAATACCCAGTGAGGCAGACTTATCTGCTCTCCCTTTCTTTCTGTTCTCTCTGTTTTGCTGTTAACACATTCTCAGTAAGGCATTTGACAGCAGCTGCTGTTTACCTATCCTATTTACACAGCTACAGTAAATTTGGCTGGAACAGAATACCATTCTTTCCCAGCTCAAGCTTTATTCCATTGTTTACTGCAGATGCATTGCTCCAATATCTTCCCAATGCTAATGTTGCTTTAAAAAAAACCTTCTAGAGGGCAGGGAGGAAAGGGTGAGGCTGGGC